TGAAGCAAGAGGCCACAAGCCTCAAAGCCTCCATGGCCTGTGGGTAACAAATGAAAGGATTGATGAGGGTAGGGCAGGACTGGGGTGAATACTTGCCCCACTTGCCCGATGTGCTTGACATGTAGTTAAAGGCATTGTTGCCTGATAGGAAAAGGAATGGAGAGAGATTTTTTTTCAACACAAGGAGGAAATCCAAAACATTACATCAAATCTCCCAATTTGCAAATGCTGGCGACTAATTCAAATTTTGCAAAATATGTGGGGACAAAACAGAAGAAATATTTGCAGTTTATTTACAGTAGTTTCCTATTTTAGCTCATAGAGTAAGAATGAATTTGGATATTCTTTTAAACTAAGGCCATTTGACTTTCTGAAATTTCCCATTAATGTTAGTGTGTGATCTGTTTAGTCTTCTGGATATTTGTTGCTGGTTTACAATGACAGGTGTAAGAGATTTTTTTTGTTTTTTATTTCCTTACACTTAAAGTAGAAAAGTTTAAAATTAAGATACTTTTATCAGTTAACTACATTTTAATTGTGAATTTGGAAGAGGCTATCATTGACATGTTTTTTACAGTGACAGGGTGCATAGTCTTCAAATGCTGATTTTAAAGGATAATTAAAAGGGGAAAATATTATTATAAAAATATTACGAATACATCACCAGAGCATTTGCATATTATTTTTTAAATGTGATTTTTTATTATCATTATAAGAACATTTGCTAAATATTTTGATCTTTTAATGTCATATTCTGAGAATTATATAAAAATAGTAAGGTGTAGGTGTCATGGTAAAATATATAATTCAGTGTAGAAAACTTAATAAACTCTTTATGAAGGCAATCCAAATATTTAATTTTCATCTAGCTGCAGTAAAGTTTCCTCATTGTTGTGCTGAATTTTTGTTGTTGTTGTTGTGCTGAATTGAACTCTCTGGATCTAATAAAGACGACACCCACTCTTCTCTTATCAACTATCTCATCTAACATCTCACAATTATGATGATAGTAAAAAATCTACTATCTAACTAGTGCATTAGCACAGTTTGTCTGACAGTAATGAACCCTGAGACGAAGTGCTGGCTGTGATGGTTATTGTTATGTTGCACCATGATGCGTAGTGGTTTTGGCAGTTATGTATTTATGTAATCTGGCAGTTATGTACTGGTGTAGTCATCTTCCATTCCTGTATAATGTTGCTTTTTGCATAAATGACATGATATTTGGAACTTAACCATTCCATAAGTGAGGAGTAGGTGCGCTGATTTTTCTGTGGTCTTTGGCTGTTAAACTCAGCCATAGATCAGCGAGAAAGTTGCACATAGAATAATGTACTTCAAACTTAGTTCTTTTTATTCTTTTGTACGTTGGTCGTACAATCAGAACTGGAGCACAGTATGAAGGACTGGTATTGTTGGGTGGCATCCAGCCAGTTCTGACCCGCAGAGACCCTAGTCACGACAAAACGGAACACTACCCGGTCCTGCACCATCCTCACAATTGTTCCTATGCCTGAGCCCATTGACACCACTGTGTCAATCCATCTCAGTGAAGGTCTTCCTCTTTTTCACTGCCCCTCCCCTTTACCAAGCATGATGTCCTTCTCCAGGGACTGGTCTTTCCTGACAATATGTCCAAAGTATGTAAGACGATGTTTCACCATCCTTGCCGTCAAGGAGCACGTTGGCCACACTTCCTCCCAGATGGACTTGTTTGTCCTTGGAGCAGTCCATAGTGCTTTCCATGTTCTTCTCCAGCACCACATTCAAAGACACGGAGTCCTTTTCATTCTTCCTTATTGAATGTCCAAATTTCACAGGTGCACGAGGCAATGGCAAACCTGATGCCCTGTTGACTGTGATGGCCCCGCTTTTGGGCTATTGGGGATCCCCGGATGGGGGATCCATGGGGGGTCTTTTGGTCTGGGTGTGGAGTCAAAGCAATTATATTATTATGTTCCCTAATTCCGGTCTGCACCCTTAGAATTCTAATCCTGTTGCTCCGCTGCACCTCCCTTCCAGCTTGCTCCTTGATTCGCAGACCAGGGATGACCAAGGCTCAGATTCTAATTGGCCGATGCTGCTGCTCTCTAAATTTGTGCCTGCTTATCTTTACATTGAACCTCCTGTGATCTGGAAGTGATATTCATTTCAGGGGCTCCTTTGCCCTGTTGTCTGTGAGTCCTTGCAGTGAGCACCACTCCTTACTTAAAGTAAGCAAGGATGAAGGTTAATCAGCCTTCCTCTGATCCCGATGCCGCCACGTTCTTCTTCATATAATTCTGTTTCTCTGGTGATTGGCTTAGCATACAGATTGAATAAGTATGGGGAGAAGCTATAGCCCTGCCACACACCTTTTCTGTTTAAACCATGTAGTATTCCCTTGTTCTGTTTGCTCACTTGCCTCTTGACCCAGGCACAAGGTCCACGTGAGCACAATGAAGTGTGGTGGACGGTTCTCCACAGGTTTATTATGGTTCAACAATCGAATATATTTGTATGTCAATGAAACACAAGCAAACATCTTTCTGGCATTCTGTGCTTTCAGCCAAGATCCATCTGACATCAGCAATGACATTCCTTGTTCCATGACCTCTTCCTAATCCAGCCTGAACCTCTGGCAGCTGCCTGTCAATGTCCTGCTGCAACCATTGTTGGACGGTCCTCAGCAACATTTTATTTGCACGCGAGATTAATGATATTCTTCTATCGTTTGCGCATTCTATTGGGTCATCTTTCTTTGGAATGGTTACAAATATGGATCTCTTCCAGTCAGTTGGCTAAGTAGTTGTCTTCCAAATGTGTTGGCATAGACATGTGTGTGCGTCCAGTGCTTCATCAGTTTGTTGAAACAATTCACTTGATATTCCATCAATTCCTGGACCCTTGTTTTTGGCTAATGCTTTCAGTGCAACTAGAACTTCTTCTTTCAACATTGGTTCTTGCTCACATGCTACCTCTTCAAACAGTGGAATGGCAGCTAGTTCTTTTTGGTCCAGTGACGATTCTTTTCATCTTCTTTTGATGTTTGCTTCGTCACTCAGTATTTTCCCCACAGAATCTTGAAGTACTGCAACTCGACACTTGAATGTTGTTTTTAGTTCTCGCAGTTTATGGCATGCTCCGCATGAGGTCTGCAAAGAGTAATTCTAGCTAACTTAAAAATAAACCCATATGCAGGTGAAATGTTTTGCTTCTAAGTAACATTTTGCAATGCCCTTTTAGGAAGTAAACTATCATAGCAAGAAGACAATATATTCCCACAAGGTAGTGGTCCTCAACCTTCCTAATGCCGAGACCCTTCAGTACAGTTCCTCATGTTGTGGTGACCCCCAACCATAAAATTATGTTCATTGCTACTTCATAATTGTAATTTTGTTACTGCTATGAATCGTCATGCAAATATCTGATATGCAGGATGTATTTTCATTGTTACAAATTGAACATAAACATTATTAAAGCATAGTGATTAATCACAAAACAATATACAATTATGTATTGTGAAATATTTATGTGCTTTCCGATGGTCTTAGGCGACCCCTGTGAAAGGATCATTTGACCCCCCAGAGGGGTCGTGACCCACAGCTTGAGAACCGCTGTCTTACGGTAAAAAATATATTATCTGGAAATTTCCATGACAATATATATAGAAAAGACCCTTTTAAGAGGTCACAGTGATTATGTGATGATGTGCCATTTGTACTCACCAAGGCAAGCACATTCATGCCACTCACTGATTTGTCTTCAAAGGAAGGTTGTCCAATTGACAATTAGTGTGGGAGAAGAGACCTACTAATTAGTTAGATCTAATTTTAAAAGTCTGAATTATTGAATGCTTTAAGTAAACACAGTATTGTTCCTTAGGCATGTATTTATAAGGTAAGGTATAAATACAGAATACAATTTTAATTGAGGCTGGGCTTGGGTAATTTAAATATATCTTAAGCATTTATTTTGTAAACTCATTAGGAGTAAAGTTTGGGATTATAATTATGTTGAGAGAATATTAAACAAATTCTTGCCTAATATGGTGAAATTGAGTAACTTCTAAGATTTGCATAGGGAGATGACATTTTAAACTTTTTATTCCATAGTAATATAATGTGGAATATTTGTAATATATTTGATTTACTCCAGATTAATAGGATAGATTGAGACTCTTTTTGGTAGTGCAGACTAGATATAATAGAAAAATTAATTCTTTTTTGAAATCTACCTTCATAACTTGATTTAGTGTTATGGAAATATTAGACTTCTAAAAATCTTATTTACTGGAAGGACATACAAGAAATGATGAACATAGTAACCGGTGAGGAGGTAGAAGTGGAATAGTCAAGGACCAGTGTGGGAATGAGACGTCTAAATTTATAGTGAATATATTGTTCTCATTTTTAACTATGTAAAAACCCACCTTGAGAAAAATGTTTGCAACAGGTTTCACTTTCTAAGCAATAATTTCTAAAGTGTATGTATAAACATTGGCCAGTTAGTAAGAAAAAGACGGGTTAAGAAAAGGAACAAGAAGTTCACAAAATAGGAATTTAAAGAAATATATATTTTTTATGTGTGAAGTTTCTTTTGATGTTGTTGGTCTCCATCCCACCCACACTTTGTGGGGTGGGGTGGGGGAAGGTCCTCATGGAATGGGCGGCCATGTGCTGCATCGATGGGCAGGATGCCCGGGACCCATGACCTCACCAACTGTTTGCTCTGCCTGGTCATTCTCTTGGGCAGCATTCCCTTTCTCTGATTTTCTCAAAGCGTTGAGAAAATGTGCATATGTGAGTTTATTTGATGACTCCATTGGACTGTAAATTCTTACGGAGTCCATGTAGTGCAAATAAATTAATTTTGATAGTCCAAAACCAGTTATTTTTCATGGAATCTAGAAAATGAGTTTTCTATATCTGTTTTTGATGACTGTTTGTCCCTCTGATGTTTTTATCAGAAGCAATCTTTCCAGGCTTTTAGCTAAAGCTTCTCTCTCCCTCTTCCTTTAGATGGCGGCTACCATAATGATACTGTATGTGTCCAAGCTAAATAAGATCATTCATTTTCCAGATTTTGACAAGAAAATCCCTGTAAAGGTATGTCATAAAAGTACATGTAGCTGTGATGAAATATGGGAAAATACTTTGGAATTATAAATTGATTTCTAGTAAAGTACATACATATTGTCCTTATTTGCACTAGGTTTGAACATCTTAATACAGATTTTCTATTATTTACTTGTATTGAATCAGTTCTATGTGCCTTCTGAAAAGACAAAGTTCTAAACCAGGAATTGGCAAACTATCTCTGCTTCTTTGTGGACCAGACTGTCCCTGTGATAACTATTCAGTGCTGCCATATGTTTTGTGCTGGCTTGCATATATTTTATGATTTAGTGTAATTTAAAAACATTTTAGACTTGTGAATTATAATATATATTTAGAAAAAGGACAAATATATATGTACACCTGGATGAATATTTATCCTTATAACCCTTCATTGCCTAGACCATGAAATAAGATCACAAAGCCCTCTTTATCTGCTTTTCTGACTTTTACAATAATAGTTTTCTTACTTGCCTTGCAATTTTTCTAAATTGGTATTCAGCTCCGGTTTAGTTTTGCCTACCTTTGAACTTTTAATAAATAAAAGGAATCAACCTTATTCTTTCATACCTTCCTTCTCTCACATAGTGTGCAAAGACTCATGTTATCGTGTGTGGCTGTATTATTTTTATTTTATGACTATACCAAAGCTCATTGATCTGTTTTACTTTTGATGATACATTGGGCTGTTTCAGTTTGGGACTGGCAAAATAAAATATGTACTTAGAAAGTATCTGTGGTGTAGATTCTGTTGCACAAAAACACAGCTTTCTAAAACATAGGCTTCTGTGTTTTTGAAAGGTGGCTATCTGGATCTAGGAGGCACAAATGTTTTCATTTGGTTGCTAAAGTAAAGGTTGCTGGTTCAAGCCCACCCAGCCATGCCTTGGAAGAAAGTTCTGGCAATGGGGGAAAGCTCTGACACTGTTTCCTTAAAGATTAAGCCAAGAAAACCACACGGAATAGTTGTGCTCTGTAACACACGGAATTGCCTTGAGTCAAAATCAACTAACAATAACAACAGAATTTCAATTTGGTAATTGTTTACTTTCAGAACTTTAAAGACACCTAATCCTGACTTCTGGCCACCATTGTTTTGCTTTCGTTGTCTGTGTCTTTTTAAATTTTGGTCTAGAAATGTATGACTATTGAGTTAGTTAATTGTGCCAGCCTGGCCGATAATCACATGTGGTGCTGGTTGAAAGGCGGAGGGATAAATGGGTGGTGAAGCCTAGCCTTTCTAGTTCTCGGGTCTCTTGCTTTGTGATGGTTGCACCGGGTGCAGCTGCCTTAGCAGTTCCCTGCTTCAGCTTGCAAGATTGACTTCCTACAAGACATCCCCAAGGAGAAGCTACATGGACCTATCCCAATGCAGCCCTGGGTGCTGGAGCAGCCGTGTGGAGACCCCTGCTAGTGCTGAGATGCTGGTTCGTTCACTGACTCAGCTTTCCTCCTGCAGTCGGCATCATTGCCTCTGTTTTGTGAGGTGAAGGACTTTGTGGACTGGTGTTGGGTATGGGTTAATGTTGGACTTGTGGGTTTGGGCAGCATTGGGTTGGGATGTTTTCGTGATGCACATGTTCTTTGCATAAAACTCTCTCTTATACATGAGTTGCTGTGGATTTGTTTCTCCAAAGTACCTAGACTAATACAACTATGTTCCCAGTTCTTTTGTATGTGTATGTATTCCAACAAAAGTTAATTTACAAGAACAGGTGTGGTCTGGATGGGTAGACCACCACTCTTTCCATTCATTATGAGAATACCCCTATGAAAGTTTGAAGTTAATTTATCTAGTATTTGAATAGATGACCACAAATAACTTGCAATTTTTTGAAACAAGAGTCACTATTGTTGAATTATATATATGAATAGGGACAACTATTTTTTAAGGCTTAGGACCACTGAAATTATTATTATCACTAGCTGTGTCACGACTTGGCCATTTATAGGTTGTTTATCAGAATGTTAACTAATAAAGCGGAATGACCTAGCTCTGTTATTCTCTTTTTTTATATCTACTTTCTTGAGTTACATGTTTTGCAAGACTAACAACTTCTTTCATTGCAATGACCTTTTCACAACAGCATAAATGGTGATTATCTATGCACATGGACTTCTCCAGATAAGAATACACAGATATCAAAATGACTACATTTGTGGGAGGAGACAGCAGAGAAACTCAATATCAACAGCCAAAATGAGGTCATGGGTTGACTGTGGAACAGAGCATAAATTGCTCATATATAAGTTCAAGTTGAGGTTAAAGAAAATGGAAACAAATCCATAAGAGCCAAAATACATCCTTGAATATATCCCACTTGAATTTCAAGAACATCTTAAGAGTAGATTTGACACATTGAATACCAATGACAGAAGACCCGATGAGCTGTGGGATGATATTAAGAACCTCAAACAGGAAGAAAGAAAAAGGTCACGAAATAGACAGGAAAGAAAGGAAAAATGAAAGTGGATGTCAGACAAAATTTTGAAACATGCTCTTTATCACAGAATATCTAGAGCAAATGTAAGGAAAATGAAATAAATGAGCTGAACAGAAAATTTCAAAGGACAGCTTGATAAGACAAAGTAAAGTATTATAATGAAATGTGCAGAGACATGAGTTAGACAAAGGAAGAACACACTCAGCAGATCTCGAGCTGAAAGAACGGAGGAAATAGGTCAAGCCTTGAGTTGCACTATTGTAAGAGTCTATGAGCAAAACCCTGAACATTGTAGGAAGCATCCAAAGAAGGTGGAAGCAATACACAGAGTCACTGTACCAAAAAGAACGAGTCAGCATTCAACCATTTCAAGAGGTATCACATGATCAGGATTCAGTGGCACTGACAGAAGAGGTCCAAGCTACACTGAAGGCGTCAGCAAAAAACAAGGCTCCAGGAATTGACAGAATACCAATGGAAATGTTTCAACCAGCTGATGACGCACTCAAAGCAACACCGTCACCTATGCCAGGAAATTTGAAAATTAGCCACCTGGCCACCCAGCTGAAAGAGATCTATATTTGTACTCATCCCCCTAAAAGGTGATCCAGCAGAATGTGCAAACTACAGAACAATATCAAATGCAAGGAAAGTTTTGCTGAAGATTGTTCAATGGTGGCAGCAGTACATGGACATGGAGCTGCCAGAAATTCAAGCTGGATTCAGATAGCTTTGAGAAGAATAGGAACCCCAGCACACGTCAGTGTGGTCGTGCAGAACTTGTTGATGGACCAAGAGGCAGTTATTTGAATAAAACAAGGGAACACTGTCATTTAAATCAGGGAAAGTCTGCATCAGGGTTGCATCCTCTCACCATATTCCTCATTCTATCTGCTCAGCAAATCTGAGAGGTTGGACTGTCTGAGGAAAAATGCAGCATCAGGATTGGAAAGCTCTATTCACAACTTTCGACACAACTTTGCTTGCTGCAGGTAAGGAGGACCTGAAGCACTTGCTGATGAACATCAAGGGTTGCAGCCTTTAGTATAGATTACAACTCAATATAAAGAAAATCAAAATACTCACAACTGGACCAACACATAGCATCATGATAAGTGATGAAGAGGTAAAATTTGTCATTGACTTAATGTTGCTTGGATCCTCAATCCATTCTCATGGAAGAAGCAGTCGCTGCACAAGACCTCTGTGAAGTGTTGAAAAGCAAGGTTGTTACTCTGAGATTAAGGTGTGTCTGACCCAAGCCATGGTATTTTCAATCGCCTCACGTGCATGTGAAAGTTGGACATTGAATAAGGAAGACCAAAGGAAATTTGATGAATTTCAATTGTGCTGGCGAAGACTATTGAAAGTACTGTGGACTGCCCACAGAACAAACCAATCAACCAGAATGCTTCTTAGAAGCAAGGATGGTGAGAATTAGTCTCCCATACTTTGGACATGTTATCAGGAAAGACTAGCTCTGGAAAAGAACACCATGCTTGATAAAGTACAGACGAGGCGGCCTCCCGATGACATGGATGGACAGAGTGGCTGGAATAATGGGCTGCAGCATGAGAACAATTGGGCGGATGACACGGGACTCGGTAGTGTTTTGTTGCATCGCACCAGTGATTGCTATGAGCTGGCACTGACTTTGCAGACGCTAACTACAGCGACATTATATCGGTTAAGAAGTTCTGAGGTACTGTGTGGCTTTATGAAAAGGCTTTGCTTTATGAATGACTAGGTCTTACATTTTTCTGTCTTCAGTGTATTCTGAATAATATTTTTCTCAAAATCAGAAAGTAATATAGGAGCCCTGCATTCAGTAAGCCGAATTCCAGTGCTACTGGTTCATTGTTTGACCTTGCTCAATATTTTCTCATACTAGGCTTTTACAACAAAAAAAGTGACTTGAAATAGGAGCCTGGTATAACTTTTTTTGGAAAGGGGCATAAACCTTATGACATTGCAGTAAAAGATACAAATCTTTTCCTTTGTTCAGAAAAGTGTATAGGACGATGCTTTTAAAAGTTTATAGAAAAATGTTATATCTTTCATTTTCCATAAACGTTTTGAAGCCCTTCCCCCTTGCATATCTACAGATGTTTTGCTCATCATTTCATGGGCCTTCTACAGCTCGCACATGGACCATATGCCACCCACATCCTAACCTCTCCAAACTAGCCAGGGTTTCCATTTCCAATAGATCCGGTCCATATCCTTTCTTTAGAGAAATATACTACGTAGGGGGTAGGTCAGAAGTGTTCCATTACTGTCCAGCGTCCCCCTCTCACATCCCTCCTTCCCACTCTGATTTTCCATGTCACTGCCCAGTAGTTGATCTCAGGGAAAATGCATGAATGTGTGTGGATTCTAGAAAATTCAGTTATTGCAGCTTCAGACTCAAGCAGTGATGGGATTCAAATAATTTACCAAACAGTTCACTGCCTTAATGACCATTTTAAGTATAAAAAAAGATAAACTGAAAGGTGGTGGATTATTTGATAAGTTAATGCTTAAAAAGAACATTCAAAAAGGTTGACAAAACTAGATTGTCATATGAAAGAGTTTTAAAATATTAATAAAAATATTAAATAATACCTGGCAAGAACAATGAAACTATTGGCCATGATAGTTCCATACTGTTTCTTGATTGGCATCCTCACTTGCAACATCCTTCACTTTCATCCAAGTGTCATCGCTGTGTGATGTATCCTTAACCATTTTTTCACTGTGGGGTAGGATTCCATTCCTTTAGAGGTAGGCCAATTAGACAATAGTCATTGTATTTGATATTTTAAAATCAGGTAACTTCTCTTCTCTGAACATATTTGAGTTAGTTAATTGTGCCAGCCTGGCCAATAATCACATGTGGTGCTGGTTGAAAGGCGGAGGGATAAATGGGTGGTGAAGCCTTGGCTTTCTAGTTCTCGGGTCTCTTGTTTTGTGATGGTTGCATCGGGTGCAGCTGCCTTAGCAGTTTCCTGCTTCAGCTTGCAAGATTGACTTCCTAC